TTTGACGATCAACTACACAAACGGTCATAAAACTACCAAAATAGCTTCAAATAACAATGTCACTAAAAGACGAAGGATGGAGGACGGAAAATATTGTACACTAAACAATGATGAAGCCTAATTTAAGAATCATCTAGTAGGGTTTTTTCCACTCCAAGAACTACATAGCTTCGCATGAGGTTTACCATCAGAGCTGCAAGGCTCGTCCGGTATGGGATCGTCAATTATGTCATGACCTTCTTGACGGGATGAGCCTGATGAAGACATAGGAGTTAGAGCTGAAAGGTTTAGATCGTAAAAGGGGAAGGAAGTGTGTCTTCTGGTTTCAAGACATCCCTCTCTTATGTAGAGGGTGAGGTGTCGCCCAAGTCAGCAAAATGTGGCATGAATTTTGTCTACCTGGCATTTATCCAGTGGCGAATGTAGAACCAAAACCCACGTAGTTCCTTATGTAAATGAAACTAAAAAATAAAAGAGTAAAAAATACTAATGGAGTCATGTCGGGTCGTATGCCTTAAAATAGATAAACATAACTTCAATATTTATAATAAAGTTTTACATCTTCACTCTACTAGGTCTTATATCTTGAAATATATTTACAACTATATCGTTATCAATACTTTCTAAAACATTTTTTTTCAATATATGACATTAAACTATCATTCAAAAATTGAAATATATAAAATATTGGCAGGCGACGTCGGTGGAGGGGCGATGGTGGTCGGTGACCTAGCCGGACGACGAACAAAGGGATCAATATATCAAGCTGGCGAGAATGTGATGAGGTGTCAAAGGTTAGGAGCTGTCGATTAGTGATAACGTTTCGTGAGTTTTTTTTTTAATTTTAAATGGCTTCTGTTATTTCTTAATGAATAAATTTTAAATGGATTAAAGCAAATGACTATTTTAAGTGGATTAGAATATATAAAATTTAGATTGATATATTTTTTTTGTCAAAGATTACAAGGTAGATACTATAAAAGTAATAAGATAAATCACCAGTTTTTTCATATATATATATATATATATATATATATATATATATATATATATATATATATATATATATATATATATATATATATATATGATACGAACCTTCAATTTAGCTACGCCCCTGCATTTATCTAAACGTGATTTGTAACAACAATTAGCAGAATACCTTTTTAAAACATTATTAACCTACAAATGACCTCAGATGGTCAATAAAAATTAATGACTAATTAAAGATAAAAGCCAAACTTTGTAAGGTTTTCATGCCAATAACCCAAAATTAAATCGTTCCAAAGAAACATATATTCTAAAAAATCATATGGTGGTTTTGTTATTATCCCTATAGGATTTTATCATGAAACATCAAAGTAAATAGGTGAATATTATGATATGGAATATGAATATGAGGCTAACATGCATAGTTAGAAGAGGAAAAAAGAATGGAAATCAATAACCATGATTCACAATGAATTTTAAAGCAAATAATAATGGCCAATGCTTGTTAAGTGGGCCTTAGCAATAGTTTGCATGAAATGATTATACCATGTCACTTTGTGAAATATATTTTCAAATAACTGTTTAAGATGGACATAAATCAATAAATGTTCTATGTGCCTTTCTTGGTTAGTACATGTAAACAACATTACATAAATGGTATATAAGGCTTTCTTGATTTTCATATTTTGTCCTTAAATTTCGTTTGTTGATGAAGATGATATTTGTGGTTTTAATTTCTTATGTGGTTAGTTCTTAACCCATATAAAGTGACACTTTTATCATTTTTAATTTAGTTTATAATTCTTTTAACAAAATTTAATTAGAAAAATAAATAAATATACCCCATCTCCACCTTACTTACCCCATTAAAACCTTATCTCATGGTCACTTTGTAACCTTCCTCCCATCATTATATAATTCACTTTATTCATATTCTTCCATTCCGGTGTCGGCACCGACGCCACCACTTTCACCATCTTTATTTCTGTCCATTTGCATCTCCATATCGTATGACAAAGAATAACAAAAGCAGATAAAAAGAGACTTAGAGGTGGGCAACAATGATGGAACCATTAAATATTGTGATCGGAGACAAATAATTAGTATTGATACCGATAGTCGTTCACGATGAATCCCTACACCATGTCAGTCCATCCCTACCACCCCTCCTTCTGTTACTCATATCGCACCACCACTAAACAACATTTCTCTTGCTATCCCTCAACTTCTTCCTTTACACGAAAACCACCAAACCTTCTCCTCTTTCACTTACCCATTACCTACCACCCACTTTCTCTCAATCTTCTCTTCTCCCTTTATTTGACAACCACTATATAGCATTCCCTATCTTTTTTTTGTCTTGATTTGGTTTTTATTATAGTCTTATCAATTGGGTTTATGGTTCTTAAACTTTTATCGAATTTGCTTGATACTTTGATCGATTTTTTTGGGTTCTTAAACTTTATTAGTTTTTTTTGTGACATCCCCATTTTTACGGCCAATTAAAACTTTCTTTTTATGCTTATTTAAAAGAGAGTATTATTTTATTTGTGTGGAACTTATCCCAAAACATTATTTCATTTGAAGAATTTATTAAGAAATGGTTTTCTTTAATATGTAAAAACTTGGGATGTCATAACTGATACAAAATGTAAGCATAAACTTGTGTTAACAGACCTTACAACATCTTATTATATTGATGGCCTACATCTCCTCGAATCTTTCATCAGATTCCACACATCACTATCCATATACCTTTGTACTGCTATCTGTGATACAAAGAAACTGAGCGGGCCAGGCTAGGCTGGTAGGCTGGGTGAGTACATAGGGTTTTCAACCCACAATAATATTATTGATTTGTATAATTATGTATTTCACATCAAAATTTTAACCCGATTACACATCCCCATTATCCTCAATATTCATCTCTAGGGACCTCTCTTAAGCATCATCACAAGCCATAGGTAGACAATATTGCCTCTACCACCTCTAGTAACACTTCTCGATCTTTTTTAGTGTTCCTATTTGCTTTTTTAGGGAGTGAAGTGCCTGGACTTACTTCCCTTTTTCTTTTTTGTTTTTTTCTCAATTTCTACTCATTTCTTTTGGTCTTTACTTTCATTTTGTCCGATTCCTTCGTTTGATTGGTGTGCACCGCGACCAAATCCCATTCTTTCTCTTTTTGAGCCCTTCGCTCACTTCTTTTATCTGTACCTTTCTCATGGCTATGAAACGTTTGAAGGCTTTGAACTCATTCATTTCCATATCTTCCTCTTCCAAATTCTTTTAACTCATTTATCCTCCTATTTATGGGCCTTCCGGCGTCACGTTCTTGTTTTTTATAACTATTGGAATCTATGGTGTTTCTTCGTTTCCTTAGAGGTTTTGCATTCTTGTGACAAGACTCACGTCGAAAAAGGGTTTTATTTGTTGGTTATTTGTCATAGATTCCCATTGATGGCATCACTTGATGCCCCACTGGGTTCACCTTCCATTTTCTGTGAGATTCATTGATTCCTTCACAGTTCAATTAACAAGGAGACATTAAACAACTCATAAGCTGATTAGTCGGGAGGGGAATATACTTGGTTCGGCATAGTGAGGGTATAGACGTAGATTCAAGCTAGGTTATACCCTATTAAGTCCCCCACCCCCCCAGTTTGGATTGTTACTTTTCTGCTAGAAGTAACAATTCGGAATTTAAAAGGTTTGTAATGTAGTTGTTGTAACTAGATAGGGATAGACACCTGAATTAAAATTTGACGTGACGATTCGGCAGATTATAGTGTTTATCATTGCCTATAACCGTCTCCTTAATTCTTTTCTATTTAAAGAGGCAACATTGTGTAACTGCCACTCTGTCTTTTTCATAAATATAGCTCTGCTTGGCCCCCTATAAATACATCCCTTGGTTGATTACTTTTCTTCTTTGCCTGTAATTTAAAAAATTACTCTTCTTTCTCCCTTATTAACTTTCATTTCTTTGCTTTACTCCTATGGCTAGCAAATAAATTTCAACAAATCATACCATGAGATCCAAACTTACGCCTAAGATCCTTATTGATATTATGAAAAAACTATCACATTGACGCTCCACAAGGTTTTGTTGGTGTTTACCGTGTTTTTTTTTAAATCGGGTTTACGATTGCCAACATTTGATTTCTTGATCAAAGTCTTGGATTATTATCATCTGGACATTGTTCAGGTTACCCCCAACGTTTTTTGGAAAAATCATTTGTTTCGTGATGTTGTGTTCTGCCCTAGGCATTGCGCCCTCTATCTCTCTATTCCGCAATTTCTATGTTATTATATCCAATGGCGATTGGGTATCTTTCTCCTTTCGCCATGGCTTGGTAGAAATCTGTGACGGCCTTCCTATTTCTATTAAGTATTGGAAGGAAGTATTTTTCATTATGTGTGTTTCTAGTTTCCGTGGGTGGATGTTTTATGGTGCTACTGCTGACAGGGATGCTGATCATTCTCCTCATTTGTCTCTCAAAGAACAGGGTATTTTGAGTCGTTTTTAGATGATTTCGTCAAATGTGTCGATCTTGAAGAAATAATGCTAGGTATGGTGAGGATAAGTCCTTAGCGGTTATGATATTACATTGTTAGAGCGGTTACACAGGAAGAGCTTGGACGGTTCTTTGTTGGTCATAAAGGAAGCGACGATCCTTATTTCCCCCTCTCAGTCGGAGTCTAGTGTTGACTCTATTGCCAATCCTTCTGGTATGGATACCACTGTGCCCATGACACATTCTCTTACCAATAAAACTGTGAAGGTGGAGCACGATAGTAGAAAGCTCCCATTTTGTTATGCCAAGGTTGTGTTAAAAGATACATCCTCTAAAAGGAATGTTGTGGTAGAGAAATTATTTCTTTGGAAGGAGTAATGAGCCTTCATGACAAGCTGATTGACTTAACTTCTCCAAAACGACAAAGGAACACTCGAAGTGGTGCAGGAAAAACTTGTGAACCATCATCGTCAAGCAATCATCATTCATCTGAACATGAATTTAGAGCCTTCTTTGGAACCACCTGCAACAACTACTCTTCATGAGTGTCCGGTTAGCGGTAATCCTGAACTGAAGCATGCCGAAGAAATATTGGCTTCTCCCGATGTTGTAACTCCAAACCCTGAGATTCCTCTCCCTTGTACTTTAGGGGAAACCCCTGTTATTGAATCTCTCAAACCGTTGTTAAAAATTCAAACCCCTGCCACTTTGTGTGCAACTGCTGTATTCCAACAAAAACTTTTTAGACCGAATTTGGGATCTTGCGTGTGTCAAACACTGATTCTACATCTTTGATGGTGGAGCCTCCTCTTCTGGATTCAGGTGTTCCAATTAATTCTAGTGTTGCTCCTTTTGAAATCCCTGACGCTAACACCTTGTTCAGGGATGACTCTCAAGTTGAACTATCTCGTGATACTTCGTAGAATAGTTTAGAACAAACTCGTATATTTTTTATGTTGCTTCTCTGTTTTATTTTTCCTTCTCTCTTTGTTTTATGTTTTTTCTTATATTAGATTACTTATTCTATCTATATTTCAGTTATTCCTTCTTCTGCAAAGGAGGCTACTCCTCCTATACTTGTTACCTTTGCTGCCTCATTACCTTAATTTCAACAACCCTTTGCCATGACTTACATTCCTAAAATTCTAGATCTTGCTAATGATTCTGAAAAGGAGAGCCTTGACAGGTCTCGATCCTACTTGATGGAAAGAATCCACCTACTAAATGAAGTTTCTTGCCGCACTCAAAAGTGGTCTACCATCCTTGCTGGGAAGTAACTAATGTTTGAGGAAGCTTTCCAGGCATTAAAGGGGATGTGTTTCCTTCATGATGAACTAGATGTGGAGGCAAAGGATCTTCATGAAGAGGTTCATGGTTTATCAGAGAGAAACATGCAATTAGTTGATGAATTGAGTGAGAAACTTTAGTGCCAGGAAGAACTGAAAAGGTTGAACCAGTACCTTCATATCAAAGATGACGACACAATTGGTCATTGTTTGGGGTTGAGCCGGGAGATGGAAGTGAAAACTCAACACTTTGAGTCTTTGAAGCTTCAATATACCGATAAAGTTTCACAGCTACAGATCGCATGTTTGGGTAAGGATGTGAGCATCAAATTGCTCAAGGGAGAACTTTTAAAACTCAAAACTATTGTTTCTAAGAAATATACCTAAATTGCATCTCTAGGTGACCTCCAAACCTTTGCCAAGCATGATGTCCTTCAATATCAAATGATATCAGAGTAGGACTCCTTGGATTTGCAGTGAGTTGTGAAAGAAGGTATCCCTTCTTTTATTCTTTCGTTATTGAACTCAGGAAATTTTGGCAATGTTAATGCCGCCATCCAAAATGTGGCCACCCAATTGGGGCAACATCAGGCCTGTGTTGAGATGAAAGAGAAGTATATCGAATCAATAAATGGATAGAAAGCCATATACTCTAATCCGGATGCACATCATTGTATTCTCGATCGCTTATCTGATATAATTACCTATAGGTATTCATTTTTTGGTATTTTAGAAGAGGATAAGGCAGACATCAATGTTTTAAAGAAGAAACTTGCAGATTTGGATCTGCTTTCTAAGTGTGATGACGGGGGTACTAGAGCTTGATTTGGCTATGATTTGTGTTTTTTTTATACTTGTCGGGTTATGGTTTGGAAGTTTTTGTTTGTATGGTTGAACTGACATGTTATTCGATAACATTTTGTTTTCATGTTTATTTATACCTGCTAAGTTGCAATCCTTGTGTACTTTTCTGAGATTTCTTTCTAAATTGCATTAAATGTGGATTTGATTTGTCTTCTTTTCTCGATCCTTGTTACTTTGATCAATGTTGAAGCAAATTATATTGTAAAACCGACATTGAATGTTGGTTTAAATTATCCTATATTTTATGTTTAATAATAAAGATATAGTCAGACCATGATTTGGCGGATCATGGTGATTTATAATACTGACATGTAAACTACAGAGAGTTATGTTTAATGTAAATATAATCGAACCATGATTGTTGGATCGTGATGACCGAGCCATAAGCTACAAATACTTATGGCTTATTTTTAATGAATATAGGGTCGAACCATGATTTTGTGGATATCGGTGACTGAACCATGAGCTACAAAGACTTATGGTTCATGTTTAATGGTATAAGATCGAACCATGAGTTGGTGGATCATGGTGACCGAACCATAATCTACAAAAACTTATAGTTCATGTTTAATTAATATAGGGTCAAACCATGATTTGGTGGATCATGGTAACCGAACCATAAGATACAAAAACTTATGGTTCATGTTTAATGAATATAGGTTCGAACCATGATTTGGTGGATCATGGTGACCAAACCATAAGCTAAAAAAATTTATGGTTTATGTTTAATGAATATAGGTTCGAACCATGATTTGGTGGATCATGGTGACCGAACCATAAGCTACAAAACTTATGGTTCATTTTTAATGAATATAGGGTCGAACCATGATTTGGTGGATCATGGTGACCAAACCATAAGCTAAAAAAACTTATGGTTCATGTTTAATGAATATAGGATCGAACCATGATTTGGTGGATCATGGTGACTGAACCATAAGCTACAAAGACTTATTGTTCATGTTTAATAATTATAGGGTCGAACCATAATTTGGTGGATCATGGTGACTGAACCATAAGGTAAAAAGACTTATGGTTCTTGTTTAGAAAAATACAATCAAATGTTATCGATCAATCCAAAAGATTGCATTTAAGGTCAAAATCAAACTGTATACAAAAGGTGATTATCGTCTAACGCTATTAGTTAATTTCTTGATCTAATATAGACTGATTCATGACTACCGTTATCCTAGAAATGTAATTTGTGAAGGTTTCTCATATTCCATGTTCATGGAATGTGGATTCCTTCCATGTTATATGAACCATTCTCTGTGGCTTCTATCACTCGATATAGTCCTTCCCAATTTGGGCTTCACTTCCTGATATGCTCTTGTCGGCTTTCTTCGTTTCCGCGGAGGACCAAATCTCCAACTTTGCATGTTGCACTCTTGAATCTAACATTTTAGTATCTTTCTCTCATTGGATTGTAAGATGCTCGTCGTATATTTGCATCACTTCATCTTTCTTCCACGAGATCCAGGTTCATTCGTAGGTATGTACTATTCGTGGCTTCCAGAGGATTCCTAGTTTGGGTGCTTCACACTATTAGTTCTATGGGTATAACTGCATATGTACTATATACCAGGCTAACTATGTTTCTTTGGTTGACGTGCGAGTTGTTGTTCGATATGCCCAAAATACGCTTTGTAACTCGTCGACCCAATTTCCTTTAGCTTTCCCCAGTCTCTTCTTGATTCCTTCGAAGTATTTTTTGAGTGATTGCTCTTGAACCTGCATGCGCACCACATATTACTTAATGTGTTTCGCTTATGACAAGCCCTACCTCCCTTTTTTGTGATACATTTTACCCATTGAGTGGAACATTCCTTTCGACACAACCGATATTCATACATGGTATAGTGTGTTGTGTTGATCCGGACCTTCCGAGCTTCTTTGTCGTCTATAGGTAATATTCTTTTTTTAAGCAAAAGAATGTATGGTGTCATCCATAATTCCTCTTCCTTGATTATCTCCAAAGTCTCTAGGATGGGTTCTTCAATGCTCCTTCTTGGTAGTATGTCTATTAATACTTTCTTCGAGATATGACTGACCACTACCGATGCCAGCTTGCTTAAGGTGTCCGCCTCTTTGTTCCTCGACTGAGGTATTTGGATGATTTCAAACTCTTGAAACCCTGTTACCCACTCTTTCTCTTGGCTCAAAAGTTTTTGTATGTGTGCCTCTTTCGCCTCATAATCTGGTTTATTTAGTTGAAGACTAACATGGAGTGGCAGAATACCTTTATCATTTAAATATTCATGCTTTGCGCTAGTCGTAGACATGTGAGCAAAGCTTCGTACTCTGCTTCATTATTTAAACATCAAAATTCAAACCTTAACGCATAGGTTGATTTGTCTCCTTATGGACTGACAAGAATGATTCTAGCTCCTGGATCATCTTTGCTAGAGGCTCCATCACTATAAAATATCCATTCATATGTTCTCCCATGCTCCATACAACTCTGGTTTAGTATCGACAATTTAGTGCGAGCATCATCGGTATGTGGCATCAACCGAACCTGGCCCTCGGGCACTTCTGTCAGAAAATCTGCCAAAGCTTGGCCTTTAATACTGACCCTTGATTAGTAATCAATATCGTGTTCTCCCAATTCAATTGCCCATTTAGTCATTCGTCCCGACCTTTCCGGTTGTGTCAGCATTTGCTTGATCGGTTGGTTCGTCAGTACCAGAATAGGGTGAGTCTGGAAATACCAACATAATCTCCTTGATGCATACACCAAAGACAAAAATTTCTCGACAATCGAGTAATTTCATTCAGCTCCTTGTAATACTTTGCCAACAAAATACACTAGCATCCGCTTCTTGTCTCTTTTGGCTACTAGCACTTCATTAATTGCTTCTTGACTTGCTGATAAGTACATTGTTAGCGGTTCATTTATGACTGGACTTGCTAGTGCCGGTAAACACCGGAGGTGTTGCTTTAACTTTGGAAAGTCTCATCGGCTTCACTCGACCACGTGATGTTGTTTTTTCCTGTGTGTGTCATTAGTGCCTGGAAGAGAGGCAATGTTTGTTCTGCTGATTTTGCCAAGAATCTTCCTAGTGCTGCTAGCTTTCCGTTCAAGCTTTGTATGTCTTTTACTGTCCTAGGTGTTTCTATTTTTAGTGGTGTTTCCACCTTCTTTGGATTTGCTTTTATTCCTTTCGTGGTTATGACATGACCAAGGAATTTTCCTTTTTGTGCCCAAAATATATACTTGCTGGGATTGAGTTGCATGCTAGTTTGTCTTATTTGCTTCAAGGTTTCTTCTCTGTATTTCAATAAATCACCATCGTCCTTAATTTTTATCACCATTTCATCGACATAGACTTCTATAGTTCTTCCTATTTTTTGCTCGAACACTTTGTCTACCAACCCCTGGTATGTGGCTCCTGCATTCCTTAATCTGAATGACATCCTTGTGTAACAGAACATTCCTTTTTTGTATGGAAAGCTGTTTTGTCTTCATCCGATATTGCAAATATCACCTGGTGATATCCCTTGTAAGCATCCAAAATGGACTTCAATTTGAAGCCTCCTAGCGATAGGAGAGAGTAGCTATATTTTGGCATGTCATGTTGAGGTCAGTAAAGTGGACGCACATTCACATAGTGTGGTCTCCCTTTTTTACCGCTACCGGTTTGCTAT